GACCACCACCCAGCAGCTGGCCCAGGAGAATGGAGACCTGGCTGGGCCTGCCCCAAGCGGACCCCGCCTAGTGTGCTTTCTATAGAGCCTGGGAGCACAAAGCGACTCTCCCCTCCACCCCAGGCACAGGAGGGCCCAGGATGCAAGGGACAAGAGAGGGCAAGGGATGAGGATGGCACCTGCCTCCTCGTATTAATAAAAATAAAAATAAGAATAAAAATAAAGGACCCTAATGGAGAAATGCTCAGGTCCTTAATCCTACCTTACGGGCCCCCACAGGGAGAAGCAAGTTAATGGGCAGATGGAGACAGTAACCAGAAATGGTCACTCCAATATGAGCCTCCACCCCACTCTCCCAATATAATGGAGCAGAAGGCCCGTACTTCCTTACAATGCATGGGGAATAACCACCTTTCTCAACACATTCTCTCACCTAATCCCCAAACAACCCTGTGAAGTACACACTGTGAATGTTTTAGGTGTTAAAATGAAGTAAATGAGTATGAACTAAAAAGAGTGAGGTGAGGTCTGCTGGGGAGTAAGATGAGCAGGTGGCAAAGCATGATATAAAACCTCTGTTAACAAAAAAGTACTTTCTGTAGGCAACCTAAGCTACTTGCGCAGGGAAGGACTTGCAATTCTACTCTGAAGCTTAAAGGAGAGGCACCTACTACTTATAATTTATTCTCCAAAGGCCTCCCTAGGCTTTGAATTTTGTCATGCACGGTATTTCTTTCTCCCACTGTGTGATTAAAGTTTTGATTTTTATAGGAGACAAAGTGCAGGAGAGTTCAAAGAAGATTGTTCACAAAACTAAAAGCCAAGAGGCATCAATATTAATAAAACTAAACTAAAAAGATATTTAATAACTTATGTGAAATTAAAGACAATGACTAATTCAATCCAAACAACTAGGTCATGCTCAAATTCCAGTAACTCTAAAATTGAGCTACAATAAGGCAGGGATTTTGCTTTGCTTCAGTGGTCAACATGAAGGGCCTATTCAAGGGAAAGACCAGTAACACAGTGGCAATGGGGACAGTCAGGCATTCGGGGCAAGGGGAGGAGGGATTTGCCACACAGGACAAAGCTAGACAATCACTACAGCACCACCTGAGAATTTCACCGAATATGTGAATAGCAAAGAGAAAGACATTTCTCACAAAAGGCCAGTCCTTCAGCCAACGTCTGAGACTCTTACAGAAACCACAAAGCCTCAGGCGTGTCTCCTGCTCAGAGAAAGCAAGTGAACAACCTAATCAAAAACATGTCAGGTCAGACACTAACACCAGCAGAACTGGGCAAAATGCACTGAGTGCCTCAGAGAGGTACACAGTGTGCAAGAAGACACTGAATCGGGCGAATCGCGTTTGACAGGAAATGTGGAAGGGTATCGAGTTAATTAGCAAATGGAAGAAACCATCTACAGACCATGTACCAATTCTGTGCGGACTGCTTTGGGTTGCTTCCCAATTATTCTTAAAAATAATCTTTAATAGCCCTGGCCGGGTGGCTCAGTTGGTTGGGGCATCGTCCCATACACCAAAAGCTTGCAAGTTTGATTCCCGGTCAGGATACATACTTAGGTTGCATTGCAGGTTTGATCCCCGGTCAAAGCACCTGTGGGAGGCAACCAATCCGTGTTTCTCTCTCACATCGATGTTTCTCTCTCTTTCTCCCTCAAGCTTACCCCCCCTAAAAAAAATCAATAGACGCAACAAATAACATTACATACTTTGTAGAGTAGGATAAGGATAATTAGTGAAAAACTACACAGAACTCAAGTTCCACTCACTGAGATGCACTCTCCCAATTTTAAAACACACAGCATTCATGCAACTGCTTCAATGAAATAGCAAAGTACTAAAAGCTTGCTGCAGGCCTATGTCCTAGCCTCCACAGCTTCCTCAGTAATCCATATATCCAGCCTCAGGAGTGTTCCGCCTTTCTGGTTTAGATGCTAAACTGGCAGAAATGAGCAGAAGCATAAGTAACTACCACACAAGAAGCAGCTTGCTCCAGAACATCCCAACAAGAACGGTGGAGGGACGCCCGGCTGGGGTCAGTTCCTGCCGAAAGCAGGGCAAGGCAAGCACACCGCGCCTTTAGGCTCCTTGCAGGCCTTGTTCCAATTTCCAAAAGCATCTCCCGCCACTCAACCAATTTGTATTAAAGAGGCAAATCGATGATCTGACAACGTAATTAGATCTTTTTTAAAATAAGAACTTTTAAAACCAAGTGGCTGTCAGCTGAGGATTTTCCAAAACATGGCATTTCTTTCATGAATCAAAATCAACAAGGAAAACTCTAGCACTACCCTTCTGTAGGCCAACCCCATGAGTGCGGCTCAGGCTAGACTTAAGGTCCTGCTGACAATGATAGGCCAACACAGACTTTCCATCGAATAAGGTTTAAAAATATTAATTCAATTTTACATTTCTTCTGTACAAAATCAAGGGAGACAGTAATTTGCTTTTTACCCTCAATGTCCCAAAAGTGAAAAAAATTTTTGATTCTAGTTTTTTACATTGTATCAAAATTGTTAGTTAACAGGGGAACTTGATGCTTTAATCAAATATAAAACTAAGTAACCAATTGTTTCAATGTTTCCAAGAAGCAAAATGACTTCTTAAAAAGACAAGGTACCAATCTATCACAGGTTTCTGCCAACTTAAAATATCCAGGATCTGGCAGAAGTAACACCTGCTTGTTACTGTGGTTGGTAGGATAGTAAGGGTGTAGTAATTTATAGCTTTAATTTGAACATTTCATTTAAAATGTCCTATGGTGTGCTTGAGTGTGATGTTGTTATGTTACAGGGTGACAGGCTTATGATTTTGTAATAAAGACTCTGTAATAAAAAAGGGGGCGTTATTTGTGCCAGACCCTGTATTTTAATAACCTAGGGGCTAGATGAACATATTTTAAATGTATGCCCTATCTAATTGAAGACCCAACATTATAGTTCTGTTCCTACATCACCTTCTTTTTATTATTATTATTATTTTAGCTGTTCCCAAGTCTTTCGGAAATGTGGCAAATACTAGCAAGTGATGGCTATCACTGAAAAATATGAATGAGAAGGAAAATGCAGGGTTTTTTCCCTTGTTGTATCAATGTGATGAATGTACTATAATCATCCTTCTCTATAGCTTTTGTGCTCTCTGCTACTTTTAGAAGAAATAAAATCCTAAACAAAGCAGAAAGATAACTTGTTTCTGTGACCACAAATAAAACAGAAAGGTAGAGTCTACATCATCAAAACACCTGATGCTTTATTCCTATTCAATGTATAAGATAATTTTACCATTTTCAACCATTTATTTGTTTGTTATGTTGAAAATAAATCTTCTCTTCCTTAGAGCCTGGACTGCAAACCAGGTGCCTCCTTTGACAGGCAAATAGGCCAAACCGTAACAAGAGAATGGACTTGTTTGTGGAATTTATGACTATTAAAAAAAAAAAAAAACAGCTTAAGGTTAGGAAAAAAAAAAATCCAGGCTCATTGTTTACTCTCCAAAGTTCTTGGAATTCCTCTGCACAGATCTTTACTTGTTTAATAACCTATGTTTTTCTCTTTGTTGTTAATAACATCAGGTTTATTAATGTTCCATCTGGCTTAAGAATTGGCTTGGGGTAGCTCCTTCAATCAGCTACTCTGTGCATATGTAACTCTCAACCACTTGATTCAATTTAGTAACACAATAAAGAAGTATCTGCTTTCGTGGAGAAAATACAATGGCAAAAATAAAACAAACTGAAACGTCTACCAAGTCTCAGGCTGTGACAAGACACCAGGTAATCATACAGAATAGATGGCTCAGTTGACTGGTAACTGAATATGGTGGCTTTTCTCAAGCTGGAGAATTAAACTCAGCCTAGATCTAGGTCAACGGGAAGATGTTACCCTCGGAAATGTCGGTGTCTGATTCCCTGCCGATACTATGACAAGCTGCATTCAGGCGGGAGCAAAGATCGCGGCGGTGCCCCGTCTTCCATTCCATTACCTCTCAATGTGCCCGGGGCAGGGCGGGGGGACAAGGGGAGAGGCTGGCAATGATACTATCATTAGGTTTGTCCTTAGGACACTTGGAATGCTGTTAACTGAGCCAACTCCACAAATATCTGAGTCGTTTAAAGAATTGCTCCAAAGAATGCCTTTCCATGTGGGGTATGGACATACAGCAGAAACTCAGGACTCCAATAAAAAACCAGGCTCGAAAGTCCCAGGCACCTAGTCCTGGAATTCTCTGACACCGAAAAACAAACCTTAAGACATCTGTGAAGCACACAATTGTCAGGAAATACCCAAGGAAAGTCCCCTCAGAGCTCTTGTCTGTCATTCATGCCCACATGTGTGGTGAGTGAAACAGCGATCCCAGGACTTAGTCATCCATTACAGACAGAAAGTTTTGTCTTTACTCATCCATCACTAATATCCCTAGCATTGTCTTTACCAGTCCAATCCCGATTACAAAACATTCTTCTCTGACATTTCTTAAGAAAAGTGAGCAATAATTTTTACTTTATGGCTACACTCTGAATTTAAACAACAACAAAAAAAATGACAACAGATGTGTCAAACTCGAAGCATCTCAAACCCTTCGATATTGTCTAATAAGCCTTATAGCGCAGGCTCAGCAGTAGACTAATGTGAGACACCATCTTTGTTCAACCACCTGACATTTCCTCCCACGAAAGGTGGGCTAAATTGGGAAGAGGGGGAAAAAGGAGATCCAAATGTTTTGACTAGAACTCACTTTGGAAGTCTGAGTCTTTCTTGCAGGCAACTATGAGACTGGAGACCGTATTTCATATTGTGCTCATGTACTCACTGCCTTTTGCTTGTCCCCACACACCCCCTGTATTTATCTTGAGAAGCTTTCCTGGGAAGCCTGTGAGGTTAAACAAATAAGCTTACAAATGAGAAACAAAAATCTTCTTTTAAAAATGGATCTTAAATCACAGCACAGAAGAGTTCCATCCCTCTTTTGACTTACCTGGGAAAGCGTGTGGATTGGGCGACCCTCTCTTAAGGCACTTAGAACAGAGAATGTGCACGGTGTAGTGCAGTCCAGGCCATTCCTGAAGTAGGACATTCAGTTCCTCCACCAAGGGGGTTATGGCTTGCCATGCCGTCCATATATTTGGTAAAGATGCGTGGCTGGCAATGGACAGAGTGTCTGGCTGCAGGACCCCCTTGGCAGGTCTGTAACTCACCACCACTGGAACTTTCCCTCTATATGCAAAGATCTGAAGCTTCCCGTCCGACCTGTGCACCACGTGGCTGTTGATCTGGACGCTGTAGCGTGCAAACAACCCAGGTGGAAAGGTAAAGGGAAAACTATATTCAATCTGCAACTGCTCAGCCACAAAAGACTGCCCAGCCACGTTGGTCCCGTTAATCCAGGCCTCTGCATGGGGCACCTCGTTCTGCACATAGCACGGGAACTTGTACCAGGCTGTGGACCCATTCAGAGGCTTGCCCTTGGGCTTATTGAGGCAGTAGCAGAGTCCCATCTTCTCCAGCAGCTCCAGCAACAGCTGCAAGTCCTGCTGGGCCTGGACATGAGGCTTAAGCAGCAACCGAATGACATGGGCCGGCAAGAGCCCATGAAGCAGAAAGCCTTCCACGTAGTGATGGAGCTGAGTGGCCCGGAGCAGGTCCTGGCTGGGCGCGGGCAGTGCCATTACTAGGGAGTTCTCCCCTTCCCCCTCCCCCTCTCCGTTGGTCCCCAGGAGCAGCTTATGCAGCAACAAGGCAGGATCCCTCTGGAAAAAGACATTGAGGATGTCAATGAGGCGGGTGAGGTTGTGGAAGACATGTTCCTTGAGGGCCGGGCTGTCCTCAAAGTAGAGCAGTTTGCCGCTCTCGTGCAGGTAGGACAGGGCACTCTGCAGCCGGTCCTCTGTCAGACCTGCCTGCAGGCCCAGGCGGGCCGAGTCCCACCAGCTTAGCCAAAGCCGCTGTGCCTGAGGTGGCTGGAAATGCAGCTCCTCCAGCACCTGCCAGGACCGAGGCAGTACTCTGTGTAAGTTGGGGAAGATTTCCCGGTGCTCAGCTACTGACAGCAGCTTATCCCGAAGGCGCTGTAATTGGCGAGGGTCCCTGCAGCTCACTGGCAACACGGGGGAGAGGATCTGCAGCCGGTGGTTGAGCAGGTACTGAAAGTGGGCTTTGCGCCGCCGAAGGTTCTTGTCTGAAACACCGTAGTAGGCCGCATGGGGGCTGGCTGAGCGCAGCTCGAAGTCTCTGGCCAGCGCCTCGTCTACCACCTGGGCCAGTCGGCTCAGCCCCTCGGCATCATGCTTCTCCTGCAGGGCGATCTGGCGGTGAATGTCCAGACACTTCTCCTCCAGCTCGCGCTCCCCACACAGGTCTGCGTGCGTGCCCACAATGCACACCACCGCATGAGGCACCCGGGCCCCCACCCGATGCAAGAAGGAGCCCACCGTGGTAGGAAATCGCAGTGGCTCGTAGGTGGCCAAGTTCACCACCAGAACATAAAGGGCCCCCGGAGAGAGGAAGAAGGGCTGGATCACCTCGTAACTTTCATCGCCAGCTAAGTCATACACAATGAACCGCAGGCCCCGGGAAGCATCGGCTGTCCAGCTGGTCACCTCTATGCCCTTGCTCATGGGAGGAGGTGAAGGTGGGTGGCTTTTCTCCCTGTCCCCTCCTTCATTTCCCTCCACTTGGTCCTCAGTGAGGCAGTGTCGGAGCAAGGTCTTCCCTGCAGCCTTATGGCCCATCAGGAGCAGCTTGAGGCGGGGCTGCACCGCGGGCTGGGAATGGGCCAGCTCCTTCTGGTAGGCTGCGATATAGGGGATCCCCTTCATACAGACCTCGTAGGGGGGCTGGATCAGCGGGTTGTCCTTGATCTTCCACAGGCCCACCCGAGAGAGCTGGCCAAAGTTGTCTGGCAGCACAGCGATCTGGTTCCCCTGCAGCACTAGCTCCTCCAAGCCCGTCAGCTCTACAATGGAGTCCGGCAGGTAGCGGATCCGGTTATTATCCAGCCACAGGGTGAGGAGCCGGCCCAGGCCTGAGATCAGGGATGGCACTGAGGTGAGCTGGTTGCGACTAAGGTAGAGCTCCTCCAGGCCAGCCAGGGGCAACAGCGCCGCAGGGAACTCCTCAAAGAGGTTCGAGGAGAGGTTGAGCATTTTGAGCCGCTGCAGACGGCTGAACTGGGCAGGCAGAGCCTGCAGCCCGTTGTTGTCTAGCATGAGGCTCTCCAGGCTGGCCAGCTCACAGAAGCCGTCGGGCAGGGTGCCAAGCTCGGCCCCACTCAGCCAGAGGATCTTAAGGGCACGCAGGGTACTGATATCCTCAGGCAGGCCCCGCAGCCGGTTGCTGGACACGTCCAGCTCCTCTAGGGCCGCCAACTGCAGCAGCTGGCAAGGAAAAGCAGTGAGCTGGTTGTGGTCCACGTCTAGGGTGCGCAGGCGATAGAGGCAGGAGAGGGAGTCGGGCAGGTGCGCCAGCCGGTTAAAGCTGACATCCAGCTCCTCCAGGTGGGCCAGAGCGCCCAGTTGGTCAGGCAGGGCGGGCAGCTGGTTGTGGCTGAGGTTGAGCTTGCGCAGCTCGTGCAAACTGCTCACCACCTCCGCGCCTAGGGAGGTCAGCCGGTTGTGGCTCAAGTCCAGCTCGGTGAGGTGGTGGCCCAACTCGGCCACCGCCGGGGGCAGCCGGGCAAAGCGGTTCCTTCGCAGGACCAGGACGCGCAGGCTGCCCAGCGCCGAACCCAGCCCGTCAGGCACCTCCTCCAGGCCGTTGTTCCCCAGGTTCAGCACCTCAATGTCTCCAATGTTAGTCGGCAGCACGAGCTGGGGGGCGTCGGGGGCGTCGATCTGGTCGGCCCCGGCCCCAGGGCAGCCCCCGGCCGCGCTGAGGGTGAGCTGGCGCAGGTTGCCCCGCAGCTTCCTGGCGCGCAGGGCGGCGTCCCGCCAAAGCCTCACTGTCTTCAGGTTCCCACTGTCCTTCCCAGCCATGGCGGGGCCCCGGATCGACACCCTCACGCGGGCGCGGGAACCCACAGCTACATGCCGCGCTGCGCCGGGTCGGGGGCCAGTCTCCCAGTCCCTCTCGCTCCTCCCTCCCCAGCACGCCTCGGCGACCAGCGGCTGTGGGTCCTAGCGCAGCCAGCGGCCGGGCGCCCGCAGCTGGGGAGCGGCGGCGACGCGAGCAGCTCCGGGGGGCGCCGAGCCCGCGGCGCTGGGGGTGGCGGCGGCCGGCGGGGAGTGCCGCTCGCATTCTCCTTCTTCGCGGGCCATGGGCGCGCCGCGGCGCCGGGGCACCGGGGCTGCCGCCCGTCGTGCCGCGGAGGGTGCCTGCTGCTTCTCCTCCCGCTCCGCCCGCCTCGCGGCGCCTCCGTACCGACTCCGGCCCCGCTACTCTCGCAGCCGAGGCTCCGCGGCCCGCAGCGGCGTCGCCTCCGCCAGCTCCTGGAGGAGGGCGGCGCTCGGCTCGGCGGCGGGCATGTTGCGAGCACAGGGCCGGGGTGCAGTCGGGAGGAGGGGGCGGCGGCGCCTCCTTGTCTCTGCTTCCCGGGGCCCGGGAGGGAACGCGAGCGCCGCGTCCCGGGCTCTGGCAGGTCGCGATCGGGAAGCTACAGCGCCGCCCGGCGGACCGGCCCCCACGTGACCAGCGGAGGCCCCGCGTGTTGCCGGCACCGCCCCGGGGGCGGACGCCGGGTGCCGGGCTTGGGGCGCCTCGCCGGGCGCGGGCCCCGGACGTGGCCCGCGCTCGGCGGGAGGCGCGCGAGGAGTGGGTCCTGGCTCTGGATCCAAGGCCCCGGGGCCCTCTTGGTTGGGTTCGTCTGCGTCTGGCTCTTCTTTGTTGACCCTACGCCTCTAAGGAGTTCTTTTCTTTCCCGGGGTGTCGGCTTCGCTGCCTTCCCTTGCTCATTCTTTACCCCCTTCCCCTTCCACTCACCCTACATCCACTCCGTAATGGAGCTGACAGAATTCAGGAACCTGGGTCTCATAGTAAGAGCTAATAGCTACACAAAAGGAGAAATGCAGGCAACCATTCATTCATTTGATAAATATTTATTGAGGCCCTATTTTGTGCCAGACCAGCTGAGACACGGTCTCAGCGCCCCTGGGGAAGGCTTTGAGCAAGCTCTCAGAGGGTCTAATTGGGAATGGAAAAGCGGAGCGTGGCGGGGGGGCAGGGTGAAGCAAGCACATTATTTTATCCTGACTGCAACTCTGTGAAACAAATACCCTCTCCCCAAACTGTACAGGACTTGTGATGCTGTAGGTTCAAGAAAATGGCAGTTATTTGAGGCAAAATTCACATTCCAACTTTTACTTGTAAGGCTGATATTCTCCTCCTTGAGATCACATCTATGCTAAGTAAAGAATTTCTTCAGAACTTACCAAAGCCTTTAAACATTATTAAGTCTCCGGCTATCACCTCTATCACTGCCTCCAGATTAGTTAATAATGAAGCAAATACTTTCCAGAGATACAAAACTGAATTAATTGCTTAAATCTGCTACTTAACACGTTACGGCTAGCCCCCACACATGACGATGCTGTCATTTGGGGACCCATATCCAGCACAGTTGTTTTATAGTAATAGTTTGTCTCTTCAAAGAGAACAACTGAATATATCAGCTGGAAATCCACCCCAATGATGGTTATCAAGCCTGGCTCTACATTAGGTGGAGGGTGCTCCCTCCCAGAGGTAGGTCCTGGAGACCAAATGTGGGTATGATACCAGGGAGAGCTGAGCTGTGTTCACCTGAAGGGTTTGGTGGGAGATCAAATTGCTCAAGGGTTCCCTGGCCTTCCATCCCAAGAAAAATTCCAAGTCATCTAGGCTGGACACCCTCTCCCCCCACCCCCCCACCCCCCCCCCGCCTTTTTTTTTTTTTTTTCCCACGAAGGAGGAAACAGGCCCAAGACATTAAGCAACTTCGTAGCCAGGTAAAGAGTAGAGTCAGGTATGACAACTCCCCAGGTGGAATTATTCCCCTGAGCACATCACCTTTATAGTCAGGCCCCAAATCTCCACACTTCGGCTCCTTGGCATGCAAATACTGAACCTCAGCCTGTGAAGAAGGCTGGAGAAGGCATTGGCTTCCCACCTTAAATGGCTGAATTGAAGTCCCAAAGTGGTTTGGCTGAAATCTAAATAACCAAGGCTAAACTGTTCCCCTTTAGAAACTGTCAGATAATTATACTTTCATTTTAAATGTCTGAAAGTTGTACGCTTCCTCTGCCAGGCGCTACTGTGTCATTTGCTTAACCTGATGAGAGAGCTGGCTAGGAATGCACGGAACCCTCTCTTCGGGAGCACCAAGCCTGGTGTGCATGAGTGTACTCGGCAAGAACATTCTTTTTGAGCCCCTCAGCTTGCTGTGTGCTCCTGCAGCCAATACTGTGGGAAGCCTTGTTGTAAAACTCTTATCCAAAGTCCTTTTAAAAGTCAACTCAGGAGAATGCAATGATAAAATAAAAAATAAAGCTCCAGGAGAAAAAATTGTGTTCAGCATGGCTCTTCAACCCCCGCAAGAAGGGTCCTGCTCTGGGCACCCCACCTGGGCCTCCTCTTGCCCCACCCCACCCCGTGGTAAAGCTTCTCTTGGGGAGGGGCACAATGGACAAGCCCCCCTCAGCCTTGCAGATAGAACATGCTTGGGGCAAAAGACACTGAAATTCCCTGAGCAAACACCTTCGAACCTGCTTGCGGAAGGTAGGGCCGTCTTTCATAGTCATTCAGGAGTAAAGGGCGCATTCCCGGTCTCTGGGGTGTGGATGAGTTGGACTGTCCTATGCCCACAGTCTCCTTCCTGTGCTGGATAGAGCCCAGCTTAGGATGAGAGGGGCCTCGGTGAACCACATTGGTGAGCCTGATGTAGTACATTTAAGCGCTTAAGCATGCAATGTATAGGCCTTCATTTGTAGTCTGACTCCAGGTCCTGCAAAGCTAGGGGCGGCCTTGTACCTGTCAGGGTTTTCATAAAAATGTGTGTGTATGCACGCGCGCACACACACACACACACACACACACACACACACACACACACATATACATTATCTCAGTTTGGAGAAGAGGGATTCTGATTATTTGAAGTTTTCTTGCCTTGGATATTTATTCAATGCCATGGACCTAATCTATAAACTCCTAAATCTTTTCATTTATCCCATTTTTCTTACTCTGAGGCCATTTTCATTTTAGCTGTTGCCATGGGATGGCAGTAACACCCCATGCACACTGGCTTCTCCCAGCCTGTGGACCCTCTGCTAGGTCACGAGTCTTTTAGGGGAGCAAGAGAATGCATGCGAAGAGGTTGGGTCTTGAGCTACATCTTAAAAGATGTAGCTAGCTAGAGGGGAGGCGCCCGGGTGTTCTGGGCAAGAGTCTTCCGTTTAAACATCTGTCAATAACAGCCTAAATGGCCCAGCTGGCAGGGATACTCTGCTCTCATCCCTTGGTAGACTAGCCACAAGCTCGGAGGCAGCCTTCATCCCTGATTCCTTTTGCATGACTTTCCTCTATTTTGACAGATGATTTTTCTTGACCTTGTTAACCCCCTACCTACTGTCTCATTGCCTTACTTCCTTTCTCTGCCAAATATCTACACAAGTGGTCTGGGGCCAGTCCTGTTTGTCTCCACTGGTTCCTTCCTTGGGCCCAGCGACCTGGCTTCCAAGGCCACCATGCCAGCACGTCACTCTCCAGAAGAAGGTCCGCTCACCCTTTTTCCTTCCTTGGCCTCCCGTCATTGAAAATGGTAAGCAACTTCCCTTGGAAACTTTCTCATGTCTATGATTCTAAGCAGGCCACACCCTTTCTGGCTTGACTTTGTTGAAAATAAAAGTGGAGGAAATGAAGGGAAAGACAGAAAGAGGGGAAGGAGGGTACATCCCTCTAAAATGTTTCAGGCTTGTTCCAAAGAAGAGGATTAGAAATAAAGCCTAATTTGACACAGGGCAGTTTAACCACAGGGGATCTTCAAGGTCACATCACCTAAACGCTTGAAACTGGGAATGGCTGAGGTGTCTAAGAATAATCCCCAGCCGCTAACATGTACTAGAGGTTTCCTATGCACTCAGGCACTGTGTGGTATGTCTTTCATGCAGTGTTTCATTCAATCTCCACAACAGCCTGGAATGGCAGTTTCCATTATTGTCCTCATTTTACAGATGGAGAAAAATGAACACAGAGCTATTGAGCGGCAGATTCCAGACTCAGAACAAGGCAGAGTCCAAAGCTCATGTTTTAACCGCTGTGCTGTTTCTTGAGGGTTGGTGGGGGTGGTGGAGGAGAATAGGTCTAAGCTCACTGTCAGCCGAATGTGTATTTTAAGCTGTAGAGAAGTGGTACCAGCTGGAGAGCAAGGATGTCACCTCGTCTTCAGTAGAAAGTGAACTTTGCCCTTACAGGAGGTATTGAAGAATGGCATATTGGGCAACCCAAAGCTCTAAGTAAATAGTATCCCCAAACTACAAGAACTGGGTTTAACATCTGTTATTAAATGTTACAGTGGGAAATAGAATTTCTCTGACATTTGTAAATCAATTATATTTGATTTGTTTCTTTGTTTGCTTGTTTTAGAGAGGACGGATTAAATACAAGTGTCCATAAAGTCTGTATTTCAAGTAAAGGGCATTTCTGATCCTGTCTTTTGATGGGAGAAGAACATTTAAAAAAGAGAAGATGACAGACTAAATTATCAAGCTAAGAGTAGGTACAAATAATACATCTTTTGTTTGGGTGGGGGAGAGAAAGCTTTCCTCATCCTTCTTTCCCAAAATTGAATAAATCTGCCTTGGACTCATGGTCTGATTTGAATGAGCGCCAGTTCCCATCAGCATTGGCTAAGGAGTCTGAGAGTGGACACTTAACTACCAACAGGGAGCGTACAAAATGTGTTCAAGACACTGACTCCCCCTGAGAGCAAAGGCAAAATTGTACCAATATGTCTGTTGTTTTTTCTTTCCCTTGCTCCACAGAAAACAAATTTATCTTGGAATGGG